CTTCTAACTCCTGCTGCAGGAGACCTGGCACCCTCTTCCGGCCTCTACAGGTACCTATAAACCCAGAAATAGAGAGCCACAACATCTTTGTTGTTGTTAATTAAAAAAAAAATATTAATTACAGTTTATTCACTTTGTATCCCACCTGTAGCTCCTTCCCACCTCCCCTACCAAGTCCACCCTCCTTCCCTCTGCTCCACCCATACCTCTCAACCAGTGTACTGATAGGGGAGGTCCTCCTCTCCTTCCTTCTGATCCCTCTCTATCAGGTCTCATCAGGAGTGGCTGCATTGTTTTCCTCTGTGGTCTGGTAAGGCTGCACTCCCCTGAGGGGTTGGTGATCAAAGAGTCAGCCACTGAGTTCATGTAAGAGACAGTCCTTGTTCCCATTACTAGGGAACACACTTGGACACCAAACTGCCATGGGCTACATCTGTGCAGGGGTTCTGGGTTATCTACACGAATGATCTTTGGTTGAGGTATCAGTCTCAGAAGAGATACCTGTGCCCAATTTTTTTTGGTTCTGTGGCTCTCCTTGTAGGGCTCTTGTCCTTTCCAGGTCTTACTATTTCCTACTTCTTTCATAAGATTCCCTGCACTTTGCCCAAAGTTTGGCTATATAGGTCTCAGCATCTGCTTTGATACCCTGCAGGGTAAAGACTTTCAGAGGCCCTCTGTGGTAGGCGCCTGACCTGTTCAATGTTTTCTCCCTCTTGTGATGTCCATCCTCTTTGCCTTTCTGATTGAGGATTGAACATCTTACCCAGAGTACTTCTTCTTAATTAGTTTCTGTAAGTATGCAGATTTTAGTATGTTTATCCTATATTATATATCTAATATCCACTTATAAGTGAGTATATACCATATGTGTCTTTCTGTTTCTGGGATACCTCACTCAGGATGATCTTTTCTAGTTCCCACAATTTCCCTACAAATTTCATGGTTTCCTTGTTTTTAATTGCTGAATAGTATTCCATTGTGTAAAAGTAGCACAATTTCTGTATCCATTCCTCCATTGATGGACATCTGGGTTGTTTCTAGGTTCTGGCTATTACAAATAAAGCTGCTACAAACATGGTTGAGCAAATGTCCTTGTTGTATACTTGAGCATATTTTGGATATATGCCTAGGAGTGGTATAGCTGGATCTTGAGGTAGCACTATTCCTAATTATCTGAGAAAGCACCAGATTGATTTCCAAAGTGGTTGTATAAGTTTACATTCCCACCAGCAATGGAGGAGGGTTCCCCTTTCTCCACCCACATCCTCTCCAGCATGTGTTGTTACTTGAGTTTTTCATTTTAGCTATTCTGATTGGTGTAAGGTGAAATCTCAGGGTCGTTTTAACTTGCATTTCCCTGATGACTAAGGATATTGAGAATTTCTTTAAGTGTTTCTCTGCCATCTCATATTACTCTGTTGAGAATTCTCTTTTTAGCTCCATACCCCATTTTTTTTAATTGGGTTGCTTGATTTCTTGGTGTTTAACTTCTTGAGTTCTTTATATATTCTGGATATTAGCCCTCTGTCAGTTATACGGTTGGTAAAGATCCTTTCCCAATCTGTAGGCTGTTATTTTGTTCTGACGACAGTATCCTTTGCTTTGCAGAACCTTTTCACTTTCATGAGGTCCCATTTATTGATTGTTGCTCTTAGAGCCTGTGCTATTGGTGTTCTGTTCAGGAAGTTGTCTCCTGTGCCAACAAGTTCAAGGCTCTTCCCCACTTTTTCTTCTAACAGGTTTAGTGTGTCTGGTTTTATGTTGAGGTCTTTGACCCACTTGGACTTAAGTTTGTGCAGAGTGGTAAGTATGGATCTATTTGCATTTTTTCTACATGTAGACATCCAGTTAGACCAGCACAATTTGTTGAAGATGCTATCTTTTTTTCCATTGTATGGTTTTGGCATCTTTGTCAAAAATCAGGTGTCCATAAGTCTGTGGGTTTATTTCTGGGTCTTCTCTTTGATTCCATCGATCCACCAGTCAGTTTCTATGCCAGTACCATGCAGTTTTTACTACTGTTGCTCTATAGTACAGCTTGAGATCAGCAATACCTCCAGAAGATCTTTTATTGTAGAGGATTGTTTTAGCAATTCTGGGTTTCTTGTTATTCCATATGAAGTTGAGAATTTTTCTTTCATGGTCTGCAAAGAATTGTGTTGGCAATTTGATGAGAATTGCGTTGAATCTATAGATTGCTTTTGGTTAGATGGCCATTTTTTACTATGTTAATCCTGCCAAGCCATGAGCATGGGAAATGTTTCCATCTTATGATATCTTCTATTTTTTTCTTCAGAGACTGGAAATTTTTTTCATACAAGCCTTTGAGTTGCTTGGTTAGAGTCACACCAAGTACTTTATGTCCTTTGTGGCTAATTTCTTTCTCAGCCCTTTTGTCTTTTTATACAGGAGGGCTACTGGTTTTTTTGAGTTAATTTTTTATCCAGCCACTTTGCTGAAGGTGTTTATTAGCTGTAGGAGTTCCCTGGTTGAATTTTTGGGGTCACTTGTGTACTATCATATCATCTGCAAATAGTGATACTTTGACTTCTTCCTTTCTAATTTTCATCCCCTTGATCTCCTTTAATTGTCTTATTGCTCTAGCTAGGACTTCAAGAAGTATGTTGAAGAGATATGGAGAGAGTGGGCAGCCTTGCTTTGTCCCTGATTTCAGTAGGATTGATTTAAGTTTCTCTCCGATTAGTTTCATGTTGGCTATAGGCTTGTAATATATTGCCTTTACTATGTTTAGGTATGTGCCTTGTATCCCTGATCTCTCCAAGACAACATCTTTAAAAAAAGAAAGAAAACCACAGACATAGAGAACTTTTGATGCCCTTTTATTTATTTATTTATCTATTTATTTGTTTATTTATTTATTTAGTGAGCAGCTCGTTTTGAACAATGGTTTGTACTAATATAAATATATGGATATAAAACTAGATAGCCTCTCAATATGCCTGTCCTTGAGCATTTTCTGTAGGAAAAAAATGCAGGAATTCACATTGAGGTAGAACCCTACTCATGAGAAGAAACTGATCATTTGCTCATGCAACAACACTTCAGAAAGAAAAAGGCCTGATTTAATTTGAGATGGTAATTTTCCATGTGGCCCTTTAATCTTGAAAAAAAAAAAAAATGACATCACTTCAAAAACTACCACATGTTGGCTTGGTTTTAATTTTTTTATGGTGGAGTCAACAGGCGACTAAACATAGTGGCCACAAGGACTCCTGAGTATAGCAGTGCATTTCCTCAGAATCATTTGGGAGCCACTGATGTCCAGTGTGCTGCTGCTCAGCAAAATTCAGAGCCCGTGACCGGTGTTTTCATGGGGGTGAATGACCTGACCGGAGATTTGGTGGAGGGTGGGTTTCATAGAGCTAGCCGGGGTCCTTCAGCACTGATCACCCTCTGAAGTAGAGTAAAAGTTGGTAGTGTTTTCTTTGGTTAAAAACCTAGTGTGATTTTAAAGGGCTCAGTGGTTTGCTTTTCTTAGGTGAGTCATGAAACTGGCTTTGATGGCAGAGTACAAAATGGAATTTTAGAAAATGTTTTGGCTCCATTTAGTTAAGTGTTTAGCCTTCTGCTTCAATATATAAGAAACAAAACAAAACAAAACAAAACAACCCTGATCTCACTTTCTACCTAATGAATTAAGGTAAAATTAGATCTCCTAATTTGGCAGTCTCTTTTGAGTAAAAAGCAGCTTAAAGCTGAAGGGTGCAGTTATTTTTCTGATGTGAGGTGAGCACAGTGACTTTGCAAAATGAAAAATGAGTCATTTCCTAGCAAGTCATCATGGGTATAGTAGAGTGGAAGCTTCAAATGCAACAGTAATTGAGTCATTCTTTTCTCACTAAAAAAAAAAAAAGAAAAATTGTTTCCTTGTTACATATCTAGACTATGCAAAATAGTTAAAATTATTATTGCCAGGTAACATGTAAAATGGGTCATAAAGCTTGTGGCACCGTTTGTTTTCCCTAAGAAGCAAAATTCTTTGTAAGAATTAAAATCGATTTTTAAAATGACAAATCAGTATTTCAGGCTGTGCCTAGCACAGAGGAAGTCCCGAATTTAAGGCTCAGCACCAAATAAAACCGGGTGTGCTGGTGCAGTGCATGCCTGTAACTCTAGTACTTTAGAGACAGAGGAAGGAGCAGCAGAAGTTCAAGGTCAACCCCAGCTCTAAGTTCCAGGCCAATCCGGCCTGTGTAAAACCTTGCGTCAACAAACAGACAAAACCCAACATTTACATTCAAAGAATAGGAGGAAAGGGAATGTTTCTGTTTGGTGTGGGGGCGTAATTAAGTGGTAGAATGGCCTGTGGTAACTGAGTGGGGAGCAGTTCCGGGAGGGCAGATGCTGCTGCAGGAATACTGTGTTCATTGATGCTGAATCCAGCCCTGAGACCATCCCAGGATGCTTTTGGACCTCCAGCTGGTCCTCGCCTTTAGTGGGCAAGCTGGGGCCACTTTCTCTCCCGTGTCCTCTTATTTAACTTACCACTCAATGCCAGACCTTATTGCAGTTGGTCTTTGTGTGGGAACTAGGCAGGTCTTCATTGCGTGTTATATCAAAGTCCCTCAGGGAGTGCAACTCTGTGTCCTGCTCTTCTCAGAGTGCTCCTGAGTTATAGCTGCTGCCCTGGCTGTATCCTTCTGGCTCAGAAACATGTGAGTTTGGATGAAGGCACATTTCAGCACAGTGGGGACTAGGATCTGACACATGGACCCAGGGTGCAACGAGCCCTCCATTCTACTTGTTCATTCCCTTCCTGGCTTTGTAGAAACGGACTTAGGGAGAGGTCTTTGTTAGTCATTTCTTGATTTCACCATGGTTTAATGCTTTTTATCTAACACTTGAATCACACGGTCTTCTAATAGTCACCTCTGGAAACTAGATTCATTGCGACCTGTGTTTCTATTTTATAATCTGTTGGTCTGTTAATGAGTAAAGTTCAGCCTCTTTTTAAATAGATTTTTCCCCTCTTTATCCAGGGTTACCAAGGCATGGTGGATGGAGGCGCCAATATCATAGAAGCCAAATGGGAAAGTGTCTCCAACATTCTACAAGTGGTAGGTGTGACGCCGTTCTTTGTTTCTCTGTATTAAAGTCACTGTTTTAGTTTGAAACATCTTATGCTTGAGCTTAAGTAAGTTCTAAAATGAGTTCGCATCCCGGCTACCTAATTATAAACTATAATTAGTTTATTGTCTTAAACCAGTTATAAGGACAGAAAACACCCATTTCTTGCTGTGTTCCTTATTTTTCTTGTCTCTGACAAACATTTGACTGAAAGAAGCCAAGGAAGGATTTATGCGGCTTCATGGCTCAGTGGATGGAATCCTTTATGTCAGAGAGCAAGGTGGTTGAAGAGCCCATGGTGGCAGGCGCCTTGTGGCTAAGCTCCTATCAGAGGAGATTTTTGCATGGTTTGTTACACCTTGGCAGATCAGAAGTAGCACGCTGAGACCAGAAGCCATGGCTATCACCTTCGAGGCTCTCCCCCAGCTACCCACTTGGAATTTTAGCTAGTCTCAGAAAAGCCACAGCCTTCCCAAGTAACATCAGTATTTGAGGACCAAAAGTTCAAACACAGCTGCCTGGGAAGTATGCCTCACATTCAATCTACAGTATGTGTCATTTAATTATTATTATTATTATTATTATTATTACTTTACGTGTGTTTGTGTGTGCCTTTGTAAGTGTAGATGCATGTGTGTGTACCTGTGCACAGAAAGGCCAGAAGATGATGTTGGCTGTCTTGTAGCTGGAGTTATAGCCATTTGTAGACTTCCCGGCTTGTTATATGGGAGCTGGATTCAGAACCTGGTCCTCTTGATTATACAGCAAGCGGTCTTAACCACTGAGTCATCTTCCAGGCCCTTTTATTAAGTCTTAAAAATATCAACATGACCTTAACTCAGGAAGTATCTTTGCAATACAAACTTGTATGCCTCAGCCTTAGCTGAGGCACATTCATTGTAGTACTTCGAACAGGTTTTTTTGTTTGTTTGGTTTTTTTTTTTTTTAAGAGCAGACAAATATAGAGGTTACTTTGGTCTGCTGGTGCTGTTTGCTTATTGGCAAATCTCTGTGCCCACTGGGTTTTTACATATCCCTTGGCACAGAGCAAAGCCAAGCCTGGGAAAGATTCTGCCTGGCAGCCCCTAGGGCTGTGGATTTAACAGGGACACTTCATCCCTGTTCTAGCTTGAAGCAGACACAGCTAATTTCTGTGTTGTGCACAAGGAAGAAGTAATTGCTACTGCAGGCAAAATAGTTGCTTGCATTGAATTTAAAAGAAATCTGTCTAGGGAACTTAAGCCTCATACGTCCCTAGAGCATTTTAGCTTAAGGAAGGGTCTTAATTAGCTGAGAGATAAAGAGATGATGTAGAAAGAAAAATCTCTTTATTTGTTGCTTGAGCTTTTAAAACCTAAGGACTAATTTCTGACTCACCTTGAGGACTTTTTAATACAAGTAAAATTGGCAAATTCACTCTGAAGGAGCCGAGGGGGTGTGTACTTTCACAAACGTCAAAGACTCTGAGACGGCACCTGGAAATTCCTTATCTTTAAAGCTGTGTGTGTACCTGGAAAGAGAGTGAAGGACATTTTGGCACACTCATAATTAACCAGAGTAAAGCTTTCAAGACCAGCACATTCTTGACATAAACATTCCCATTCTGCTGTTGTGATTGAGAGTGGAAAATTGGAAACATACTTGTGATTGAAATATATAAGTGTATTGTGAGTAAATCTGTAAATGACACCGGCAAGCTGATTACTCATAGTTTCATCCTGGGGCTTTGGTACCTTATCGGTCCAATCCTGGTGTCGCTGTGTTTCCTTTTGACTTCCAGTTGTGACAAGTAGCATGTTGTTCTAACTAATCTTCATCAGGTGGAAGTTCGGAGAACAGGCTCATCTCTGCTGTGGACTTTGGCACTTGCCTCCCCAGGCCTGCCTCTGTGATGTCCGACTGTATGTTGCCCACTGCACTTTGCACTGCCAGTGTGAACCTAGGATCGGGGTTGGTAGTGAACGACCCTCAGCTTTATTAGTAAATTCTAACTAGGGTTTCAATCAACAAAATGGGAGTGATTTTCAAGTAAAACTGGGAATTTATATGGCTTTATAGTTTACAATAAGCTATAGACATACAAATACTAGCATATAATGGCTTTTTAGTGAGCCTTCTGCACTGAAGCTCTGCCTGCAGCATGGGTCAGCGTGGAAACTCCACACTAGTCAGAATAAGTTGTCTGAGGGATTGCATCAAGCTTTCTAAACTGATTCATTATTTCTTTAAAGGGATCTCATTGTTGTAAAATCCTCCCCCCCCCCCTTTGGTTTTGGTTTTGGTTTCGGTTTTTATTTTTATTTTTCCCAAGTGGATTTCTCTGTGCATCCTTGGCTGCCCTGGAATTCACTCTATTAGAGCAGGTTGGCTTTGACCTCAGAGATCCGCCTGCCCCTGTCTCCCAAGTGCTGGAATTAAAGGTGTGAAATTTAATGAGTGGTGACTTGTGTCTGATGCCACCATCCCCATGTGACTTATACTTCAGGACACAACAGAGATGGCTGGTTTGCTGAGAGGCACACACAGGTTAACTCTCACTCTTGGATACCGTCCTGACCCACCATGGGGACAGCTACTCTAGCACTGTAACTTTAAGTGAAATCACCGAAATTGCACATCTTTCAGATTACTTTGGTTTAGTGATTTGACCCCTAGGAGAGCCAGGTCATAATCAGGAGGCAGGACAGGTTTGCTCTCCACGCCTGGCAGATGTCCAGTGGAGTGCTGACACATCTTTCCCTGTCTGTGTACCTGGGCCAGTTCATCCCCTGTTGGGACAGCTTTGACCTGAAGAAGCTGGGAGGCTGCAGTGACCCTGTGGATACTTGCTCTGTCCATTCAATTGAAGACTCACTTCCATCTTTCACGGGCATCGGGCTAGTGTGTTTCTTCATGGATTTCTAGGGTTGCACTAAATGTAGGGCACTCAGCCTTTGACAGTACGCTGTTGGCAGAGATGAAAATGAAGAAAACATGGAAAGTTCTACGTGTGTGGCGGATCCATGCCTGTGCTGATCCATCTGCCTTCCGATGAGTGAGCATGATCTATGTCCTTTCCAGGGGGGTACCATCATTGGCAGTGCCCGTTGCCAGGCCTTTCGATCTCGCGAAGGGCGCCTGAAAGCTGCCCGGAACTTGGTGCGCTTGTGTATCACCAACCTGTGCGTGATTGGTGGGGACGGAAGTCTCACGGGAGCCAACCTTTTCCGGGAGGAGTGGAGCGGACTTCTGGAGGAGCTGGCTCAGAATGGTATGTTACCGTTTTTATTTCCGATCCTGTTACTGCCTTTCTGAGTTGGTTTCCCTGTTGGGGCATTTCAAGAGCGTGGGAAGTCATACACTGTGCCTTCTTTAAGAAAAAAAACAAACAAACACAACAGCAACAAAAAACAAAAACAAGAAGAAAAAAAGTTATTTATGTTTGGCTTGAGCACACATACTTTTGGGCCATCTATTTTTACTGTTAGTTTAGTTTAGCCTTTGAGATGTAGTCTCACCATATAGACTTGAACTGGCCTTAAACTTAGAGCTTGCACTGGCCCTCTGAGTGCTTGGAATTAAAAGCGTGGACCATCTTCATTTTAAGCTATAGCCACATTGTAGCTGTTGTTTTACTTCTTATGATTTGGCACCACAATAATATTTGGCACCACAATAATTGGCACTCAATAATATCAGTAAGCCCCACTGTGTGCTAAGCACTACTGGCCCCATTTATCAGGAGGCCTATGGAATGATGAGGATGACAGCAGTCATATACACCCCTGTCTTAGGAAAAGCCAGGTAGCTGTGACCATCATCTGGGTGCATACCAGCCCTTAGGTACCAGCATCTGCATTTCTACTGATCAAAACATATTCCTCCTGTTATGCTGGGAAGTCTCCAAGCCTATGTTGTCACATGAATCTAATTAAAAGGCCTTGATCTGCTTGTACTCTTTTTATTTTTTAATTATAAATCACTTCCAGTGTTACTCAGGATGTCTGAGAAGTCTATATGAATTGTTGTGTCTGTCTCTTTAAAGCTGTTATTATTATAATTCCAGTTCTATATCAGATATAGCTAGAAAGAGTGTGTTTCCCAAACAGCAAGTTAATGAAAATTGGAATCTACTCAGAAAATAGAGTAGAGATGTCTCAGTACATCTTGTTCTTCTCCTGCCCGATTTAACACCAGCCCACTGGTGACCACGGGTAAGGACCTAAGAACCCCCCCCCCCATACCACCACTGTTCTAATTTCATGTATGTGGAAGTACCTGACCAGGTGTGTTTATCCTGAGGGAACTAGCTGCACACCTCCTAACTAGTTTCACAGGCATCTTTGAGAAACCTATAGGAAGGTCATCATATGTTTCTAAAGTACTTCCGAAAGTATGGTGTGTCCTTATTTAAAGTCATTATTGTTAAAGACATTGCGAAGAAAAACTTAAGATTTTAACTTAAACTGCAACATTTGTATCTTTTTTTTTTATATTTCCTTCTGTCTTCTCCTGCTCCTGGCTTCTCTTTCCCTTCAGTATGCTGATTCAGGGTGTGTATAGTTCTGGGGGGAAATTCATAAAAAAAAAAAAAAAAAAAAAGCAAAGCTTAGGGTACTTGACTTGTGTGCCACGGTCATTGCCTTTCCCATCTGGTAGAGCACCAGGAGATGCGGCAGCTCGCCCTGGGTATGAAGTGTGCTTTTTGTCCCCAATGCAGGTGAGATTGATAAGGACGCCGTGCAGAAGCACTCCTACCTCAACGTGGTGGGCATGGTGGGCTCCATCGACAACGACTTCTGCGGCACAGACATGACCATTGGTACAGATTCAGCCCTGCACCGGATTATTGAAGTCGTTGACGCCATCATGACCACCGCCCAGAGGTAAAAGGACTGACAGACAGACACTAATAGGTTATTTCTGTTGGCTCTGGAACATTCTGAAGATACCGTGCTAGTATTATTTTCAATGAGCTTATGGGGAAGGAAAACACAAGGAAACAAAGACCCCAAAGGTCTTCTCGTAGAATAATAAAAAAGAGAGCAGCTTTGTGTATTTGACACTTAGTGAAGTGGGACATAATCTTTTCACTGTTAGGATTCTAAGCTACAGAAGAAGCAGGTGGTGAGTAGACCATGAACAGTTCATCTGTAATGACCCAGACCCACAGGAGGCATCACTTACCTAGAGCATTATGGAGCTCCTGAAAGCCTTTTTATGAAAGTCACGTGAAATAAGTCAGACGAATGCCTTTTTAGTGAGTCAGCAGCTAAAAGGTTGGAACATTGGAAAGCATGTTCTTGAGGGAGGCTGGGGCTTCATGGGTCCCTTTTGTGTATATGTCTGCTTCTTAGCCACCTCTGACCATTGAACTCTGACACTGGAACACCACATGACCTCTTCAGGCCTGGAAGAGCAATTGGATTTTTCCATTGCAAGGAAAGAGTGATTATGTGTTGTTGATGGAGCTGATTGGTAGCATTCATGCTCACGTGCTTACATGAATATAGCCAGCCCATGGCTTTATTTTCCCCTCTGTAGACCAATTGGCTGTTTTTAAATTCCTGGCCTTTCAAGTGCTGAGGTCACAGATATGACCCCAGCCGACCCAAGGCTTTCAGGAGAAGTATCAAACTTAGTTCAGGATAGATGCTTTTTAGAAAAGGGAACAGGAAAGCACCTTGAAAGTGTAAGAAAGCCTTAGAAACCAGTGATGGGTATTGTAAAATTTGCAACTATAAGCAGTACTGAGGATGTGGTTTAGTTCATATAGTGCTTGCCTAGCATGCAGGAAGTCCGGGTTGGATTTACAGTACCCCACAAGCTAGAGGTGGTGGTACATGCCTGTAGTCCTAGCATCTTGGATGTGGAGGCAGGAGGATCAGGAGTTCAAGGTCACCCACCCTTGGCTACATAGAGTTCAAGGTCAGCCATGGGGCATATGAGAACATGCTCAGAAAACAAACCCCCACACACACCGCAAATGCAGTTATTATTGAAACCTCATTACTCCTTAGGTATGAAATATTTGGAATGAGGCTTGCTGGGCTGTTGGCCGCTTGGTGCCAGCTATAGTAGAGAAGCAGGCTTTCTGTCTCTCTTGGCTGGCTGTGAATATACTTTTCTTGCTGTGAGTAGTAACATGTGCCCTGTACCTCTTTTCCAGCCACCAGAGGACCTTCGTCCTGGAGGTGATGGGGAGACATTGTGGGTAAGTAACTGCAGACCCCATCCTGGTAGGAATGAAACTTAGTGGCATCTCTATGGGAGCTCTGCACCATGCATTGCAACAGGGTCTCAGAGCACCATGAATCTCCTGCCCAAGGTTGCCTCTGAGCATAGGTGGCACACTAGCCTTGCAAGCATGTTTCTGGCACCCTGTGTATTGATTACTCTTTTTCCCTCATAGGTACTTGGCCTTGGTGACCGCCTTGGCTTGTGGTGCTGACTGGTTGTTCCTTCCAGAGTCTCCACCAGAGGATGGCTGGGAGGAAAACATGTGCCTCAAACTCACAGAGGTAACTGGGACTCTGGATACATTGCTCGAGTCAGGATCCACAAGGTCCTTTGGGGTGGCCAGTTTGGATGTCTTTTTCAAATACTTGAAAACTTGTAAAATGAGGTCGTAAATGAGGTCAAGCTTGTTGCCAAGGATCTGCCTATGTAGCCTGATGTTGCCATGGAGAAACAGCCAGAACTGTTGCTATCTTTCATCCAGTTCTGTTTCTAAGTGGCTTGTTTGTCATGACATGAGCTCATGGTTAAATGAAATGAAATCAGTGCTACAGAGACAACCCTTGTTTGCTATTCAAGACTTTCTCATCAGAAACCAGATAGACCTGTGGTATACTCTTTCTTTTCTTTTGTTTTTTTTCAAGACATGGTTTCCCTGTGTAGCCTTGGCTATCCTGGACTCGCTTTTTAAACCAGGCTGGCCACGAATTCATAGAGATCCGTCTCATAGAGATCCATCTGCCTTTGCCTCCACGAGTGCTAGGATTACAGGTGTGCACTACCAAATCTGGCTCTGTGTTGCACTCTTGTTTTAAATCCTGTCTCCCAAATGGGATGAGGTGTTGTGCCATTTCTTTCCATAGTGTGTGGGGATTTTAGGGTCTTTAATTAATCTTGATTCATGTTCCTCTCTTCCTCTGTCAGGAGTTTGTTGTAGTTGTCTTTCCCAGTATAGTTGCTTACTAAGTTACACCTTCACAGGGGTATGACGGCATACCTCATACAAAAACAGTGTGGGAGGGCCCCTTCAAGATCCTGCTTAGCTTTCGGGGCAGCGATCTTAATATGTAGGTTAATTTTCTCTCCCTTATTTTTGAGGCAATCTTATCACGGATCTACAAGAAAATTATATAAGCATTGTATCACAGACCAATTTTATTTATAGTCAGCAAGCACATAAGCAGTGTCTGGAAAAGGCTGCATGTGTGTGGGCAAGAAAATGTTGCTTTTGAGTAGCAGTCTCAAAGGAGGAATGTAATTCAAGTCAGTTTTCCTGAAACAAAAACCCATGTGAACAGCTATTGGTTAAAGCTATATCATAGTGAGAAAAACCAAGCTTCCTTTGGAGGGTCAACATCCTAACTTGAAATAAGCTACTGATAGTATGTGGGGGGGAATGGCCAAAATGTAGCTGTTACCTCTGGGAGTGGGTTTCCTTTGCTTTGATCCTGACTTGGGGGACATTAGCAGTGTCCTCAGATACTAGTTAAGATGGGTTGTCCACACCTGGCCTCATGAGATGTGAGGTGAAATTTCCATTTACTGGCACTTCTATATGCCCCAGAAGACTATGGCTTGTGTGTCATGAGATGAAATCCTGGTGGCTAAATGATAGGACCGCACAGGACATCACCTCAATGGTAGCTACTTCTTTAGAAACCATGTCCAGTCCCCTCATGTCTTCTTCATCATCCTGACTTGCCTGTAGCCTGATTGCACATGACAATTGTCACAGGCCACAGATCCATGGATAGTAATTCAGAGCTAGGGCTGACTGTTGGGGCTTGGCTGACAGGAAGTCAGCACAGTCAGTCTGTGGGGTCCTTCAGTGTCTACTTACTCAATTTAGATCTAAAGGCGATTTCTTTACGTAATCCCATCAAAAAACAAAAAACAAACAAAAAAAAAACTCATAAGATTCTAGACTTTGTACACTGTGCCATCAGATATGACTAGACCTGGATACATAGTTCTCCATCCCCCAAGTTTTGGCTGAGTTAGAGCAAAAATGTTTGCTATCTTTGTATCTGTTATTTATTTTTCCTGGTCACCAATATAGTACTGCAAGAAGTTTTCTCACTATTTTAGAAGATTAACTAGGTGAGGAAACATTCTCCGTAATACAGGAATTATTAAACAGCTGCCCAGGGATGCCACTGCCCACAGTAGGCTTAGCCCTCCTACCTCAATCAGCAATCAAGAAAATGCCTTTGGGTGCCCTTCTTCCCGTACTGTACCTTTTTCTCTTTTAGAGACAGTCTCTAATTGGCAAACCCCAGGAATCTACTTATCTCCACTTCCCCAGTTCTGGAGTTAGAGCTTGCCAGACTTATTTTTATGTTTTCCAGACTTTTTTTTTTCCCTTTATCTTAAAAAAAAGCTAAAAATGCTGGGTATGGTGGTGCACACACCTTTAATCCCAGCATGCAGGGAGACAGAGGCCAGCCTGGTCTACAGAGGGAGTACTAGGACAGCCAAGGCTACACAGATAAACCCTGCCTCAGAAAAAAACAAAACAAAACAAAACAAAAACCCAACCAACCAACAAAACAGAGTTCTGGAAATCAGATTTGGGTCCTAGTGCAGATGGCAAGTATTTCACAAGCATCAAGAGCAGTTTCTTTAGGCCACAGATTCCATTGCCTTTTAGCCACTTCAGAATACGTGTTTTGTGGCTAACGCACACCTATTCAGCCATCCCATCTTTATGGGGACAGTCTTTCCCGTACTCTTTCAAGCAATGCTGAGGTAATTGCCCTTGTAGTCCTCATGCTTTTAGGCTTTTAAAAAAGTGTTTCTTATTCTTCAAATCTTCCTTCATTACGTTGTTCACATTCTTCAAACCATGGCACATTTCATAGCTGTCATAAACAAGAACACAACATTTGGGGCTCTCATACCGCGTACCTCTGATCCATATCAGTATATCACTTTGTGCCCTACCATCAGTCGTGGCCAGGACCTCACCCACTTATCACTGAAATTTTTAAGGGGACAATATTTTGTCTGAGACTTTATGGAAGCAAATCTATTGAGAATGAGCTAGCCCACACCATGATACAGTTGCCAAGTCCACTGTAGCCTTGAGTGACCACTCGAGTTTATGTAAATTAGTGTAGCAGAGTGTGAGCGCATAAGACAGTGTGTCAGAGGGGGAGTATATAAGACAGAATACCAGGGTATGAGTACCTAAGACACTGCGCCAGAGTGTGAACTGGCAAATAAGGGTAACTATGTTCTTCTCAGACGCTTTGAATGGGACATGTGTCTGCTAAATTTCTCGTTACTGTGGTAAACATCTGTGTTAAATCAGCTGTAAAAGAGACATTTATTTTGGCTCCTGATCTTGGAGGCATTGGCCCATTATTGGTCGAGCCTGTGATGACACCATGATTCATGACGGCTTTCAGGACAAGATGAGAGGTCTATTTACCTCATAGTGGCCAGAAAGAAACAAAAAGGGAAAAGGAAGAGTGGAGATGAGAGTCATAATATACACTGCAAAAGCAGCTACCTCGCCTTCTTCCACTAGGCTTCAGCTCTACATTCTCATCCAATGGTTCTGTGGGCTGAGACAAGCCCCAACACATGGGCCTTTCTTGTACTCTTTTATGATTCATTAACCCTGACCTACCTGTTTGCTACCGATGCCTGTGTACAGTATTATCTAAAGTGATGGGGGAGAACTATTGGCCTCAAATGACTGCATTTAGGGAGGATTGGAAAGAGCTCCAGAAAACATGGTTTGGGGTAGGAAAAACAGAGAGTCCAGCCTCTGTTTGGGTAGTGTTATGGGGCTCCCATGCCACCTTAGCTCAGGGCTAACTGAGGCCAAGTTCTCATGTGCGCATGTGATGTCACCCAGGATACTAACTCCCTCAGCCCTCGCAAAGGCGCCTTTCACCTATTTTCAGGGTTACTGAGAAATACTCCCAAGTTACATAATGATTTCTACCTGGAAAGAGGCCATTTCTACTTAGGACATTTTTTTTTTTTTGTCATTAAAAACAGCTTAAAAATTTTAGGAATTTTAATTCTCTCTTTTCTTAGAACCGTGTCCGAAAAAAGAGGCTGAATGTTATCATTGTGTCTGAAGGAGCAATTGATACCCAAAATAGGCCAATCACCTCTCACAAAATCAAGGAGGTAAGCTTGTGTAAATGCCTCACCTTTGCTCTGCTGCCCATGGACATAAGAGTTGTCAGCAGGACTGACAGGACTTAGATTTAGAATATGGACTCAACTTTCATAGCATGGGGAGACTGAAGCTCAAGAGCACCTGACAGCCACCATTTTTTTGCACCCTGTCTCCAATGGTCCTCACGGCACCATAACTTCTCTACCAGGAGAGGAGACACAGTTGGGTTGATAAGCACATTCTTGTGTTAGAAAGGACCAGCTGTTTACATGAGCTTTGCACCGAAGATAAGGAGTCTTGACTACAGCATATTTTGGGGCCTTCTCTATTTGGAACGATGGACAAGATGAATTGGAGTTTCCCCTCTGCCTTCCTGCTAACCTAGAGCATCAGAAGATCATGTTCTTGCCAATAAAACTGCCTAGTTGGCTATGAGTCACTGCTCCCTCATGGCCCCAAGGAAGGGCAGGGTCGGGCAGGGTCGGGCAGGGTCGGGCAGGCTACAGCTCTACTACTTTAGACCAGTGCTCACCAGTCTCTACAGGACTCTGACTTGTTCACTAGGATCCTAGAATCACTGAAGAACCACAAAGCAACAGCTAAGCTCTGTAGTTTTAGTTCCAGCTCTGAGTCAGGGCCCACAGGCATTATAATCTGGTTTTACCAGATTTTGTTTGTTTGTTTGTTTGTTTGTTTGTTTGTTTTCTTCTCTTCTTGCTGAGTAGTCCATGCTGGACTCAAACTGACCATCCTTTTGTCTCTCCCTCCCAAATGTTAGAATTACAGCTGTAACCACCAGACCCTGTTGTGCACATTGTCTTTTATAGTGCTGAGAAATGGAACTCAGTAGCTCATGAGCCTGACAAATAGGTGCTTTAGCATTGAGTCACACCCTCCGCCCTACAAGTCAATTTCTTTATCTTTGTTAAGTTATGGTTATCTAGTGAGCCCAGCTTATTTCTTACTGACTCTACTACCAAGTCTGCACCTAAGCATTAAATCAGCAAGTGCCCGCGAAAGGTATTTAACAGTATTTACTGATAGTAAAAACAGGGCAGGGGGTTTCTCTCTCGCCGACATAGAATTACATTGAACTCGAGCAAAAACGCATGCCCAGATGGATGTAGGCAGCCCTGCTGTTTACAGGTGATCAGATGGAGGTCTGTAGACTCTGGGTCACCAGCCATATTGTTGGCATGGGGCTGAATTGCCTGGGTTATATTCCTCCCAGTCAAGCTGTACATTGTCAAGGAAGATACTTATAAATAATACTTTATTTATTATTTATTTGTTTATCTATCTATCTATCTATCTATCTATCTATCTATCTATCTATCTATCTATCTATCTATCTGAGTGTCCTATCTGCATGTACACCTGCATGCCAGAAGAGGGCATCAGATCCCAGTATAGATGGTTGTGAGCCACCATGTGGTTACTGGGAATTGAACTCAGGACCTGGAAGAGGAGACAGTGCTCTTCACCACTGACTTATCTCTCCGGCCCATAAGTAATACTTTAAATACAATTACTTGAAACAGCATTTTTGTAGAAAAGTCAGTGTTACTTTTACCTGCTTGTTAAGAGATGTGATTCTTGCCCATAACCTCCAAACTCAGGATGCTGAGGCAGGAGGATTGTAAATTCAGTGCCAACTTGGTCTGTGTATACTGTTTTCAGCAACCAAAACCGAACAGCAGAAACATCAAAAAGATTTTACTTGACAATGAAAGTGTTATTTGGAAGACTAAATTTTAGTGTTGTAGGTAACTGCTCCTGCAGGAGAAATGAAGCAAGGATCACTTTTAACCTTTACATCTGAAGAAAGAATAGAGTACCATTTGTTCAGTGCCGTGACCCTGTGACCAAACCTCACATGGCATGACCACACCGAGATCTGTTCTGTCCTTTATTTTCTGATGGCCATCTTTCTCCACAGCTTGTGGTAAAGAATCTGGGCTTTGATACCCGGGTGACCATTCTTGGACACGTGCAACGAGGAGGGACCCCTTCTGCGTTTGACAGGATTTTGGTAAGCGGAGATGGAAAGGACTGGACATCGTCATGAGGCTTCTTTGAAAGGCATTTAGATACCTAGTTTATTATGGAGGCTGACCAGCAGGATCCCTGGAGACGTTAGTGGCCCATGTCCTTATTTAAAGATCCTTTGAGACTTTCTGACGTAGATTGATTTCCTGGGCTGAGGCCTCAGCTGACGTGGGAAGTCAGTATGCCTACTGATGGGGAAGACGTGGTTGCCAGGAGAGTAAAACCCAGGAGGTAGGAACGTGGTATTTCAAGTGTAAGCTTCCAGGAACTAACCCAGGAGGACAGCCGGCATCCTGAGTCCAAACCATAAGTTTTTAGGATTGCATGACAGTTCCCAATGGAGTTGTAACCTTATCATTGCAGAGATGAGTAGGGATAAGCAAGATGGAAGCAGGCTAGCCCCTAATTGAGTCATTGTGGAATGCAGGCAGAGAGTGAACCCTGGGGTCGTCGCTAGCTATGCACATGGCGCCTCTTAAGCATAGGATGAAGGGTTGGCTATCTCTAGTGGTTGTGATTATCATTTGCAGGCCAGCCGCATGGGGGTGGAGGCTACCCTGGCCTTGCTGGAAGCTACTCCTGAGACTCCAGCCTCCGTTGTGTCACTGAGAGGAAACCAGGCCGTGCGGCTGCCTTTGGTGGAGTGTGTGCAAACGGTGAGCTCAGGTATTGGTTGGGCCACCTGTGGGAACAAGTGGGTGCTTCAAACTGTGTGGTCTGCTTCAGGCTCCTCGGCCACTGGGTTAAACGGCCTTTTGGAAGGCAGAGTGATAGCCAGTGGATGATGGCAGCAGGGTTCCTGCATCACAGGGCAGTGTATCAAAGCTTTTCTATCTCTTGCTTGTTTTCTGTTGCCACCCTTGAGGCACTTTCAGTGTTCACCTCTCCTACCAATGATTCTTCTCCACCAAGAACTGGGGAATTCCAAGAGTCGGTGACTGTTTTCCACCTACAGTCACAGATGGTCTGTGGAGCTCCTTTGCACCACCAGCAGCAAGACTGTGCAGGAAAATGGTCCTGCCAGGAATTGGTGCTATAGGTGTATGCCTTAGTTCCTCCAGTTTTACTTTCTGTTTTTGTTTTTTGTCCCCAAGGACATTCTGATCTACGGTGGTACCTTGGAGCAGATTCCAATAATGTTGAGATAGGCTGGCTCCTTCAGATACGGAAGTGTCTACTGATAGATGAAAGAAAAATGGATTCTGCTTTTTAACTCAGTTTTTCAGTAGCTTCAGTGATGGTGGGGTTTGCTGCATTAGAAACTGCTATTACTTTTCATTTTCCCCAATTCTTTTTTTCATGAAATGTTGCAGTATTTAGGCTTTTGAATGACCCTGTTATGTTTGCCTTTTATCACACACACACACACGCACAGCATTTGCAAATCAAGAGACTTACTAGACTTACTGAAAGTAACTTTAACCTAGTTCCCAGAAGCCAATAGAGACGAGGACAGTATGTGTACGTACGTGCAGTGATGTGTGCATAAAGATAGATGTTTGTGTGTGTGTTCCTATAATAGAAGGACAAAAGAAGTATCTGAAACTATTTGAAAGGTAATAGGTTTAAAAAGGTTAAATCCCTGAACCATGTGTGGCACATTTCTTTGGAGCTTATTGCTCGTCCTTTGTGTGTTCACTGTGGACAAGTGGATTACACGTAACTTCCTGGATATTCAAGCCATCACATAGAGGTTTCATTAATAAACAGCCACAGAAGCCACTTGTTGAGAGCCAGCAGTTCACTGAGGCTCATCAGGATGTTCAGCCCTGAGCTCTCCTTAGTCCCTCTCTTCCTCTTAGCTACCTGTGAACTGTACTTGAGATCTGCAGTCCCCAGTGAGGGGGTGAGCTAGCTCTGTGTTTCTTCTTAACTGAGCTGAATTGTAGATTCATCAGGTCCTTTCCTAAACGACCCAGTGCTGTTAACTTTGCCTTTGGGGGAATCATCTTTATGATTTTGTGGCCATGAGCAGCAGGAGTCACCTCCTCTTGGGGGGGGGGGGTGCTTAAACCTCATGGCTGAGTCAGCTGTCAATTTGGGAGCCACTAGGAGGAACCCATTGGTGTCAGATTGTGATGGTACAGTCAGAGTATCTAAAGCTTGATTCATTCTTTTTTTTTTATTATGTTTTTTTTTTTTTTTTTTTTTAAAGACCCAGGATGTACAGAAGGCAATGGATGAGAGGAGATTTAATGATGCCGTAAAACTCCGAGGGAGGTAAGTTATTGGGAATAAAACTCTGTTTATTAGGAATTTAGGTCCTTGTTTGGTCATTGAGACTTTAGTCTCCTTATAAAAATTTATAAGAGTCAGGGCTGAACAGGTGGCTCAGCAGTTAAGAGCATGACCCAAAGCTAGGCACAGTGGTGCACGCCTGTAATACTAGCACTTGGGGACGTAGAGGCAGATAGATCTCTGTAAGTTTAAAGCCACCCTGGTCTACAAAGTGAGTCCAGGACAGCCAGGATTACACAGAAAAACCCTGTGTCCAAAAAACTGACCCCCTTCCTCCCTCAAAAAGAGCAAAGAGCACAACACATGTCTTAGCTCATAATTGCCTGTAACTCTTACTCCAGGGCAGTCGGATGCCCTCTTATGGCCTTAACAGGCAGTGCACTCACACGCACAAACCCATACACAATTAAAACTGTCGTTTTTCTTTAGGAATTTTGAGGGAAACCTGAAGATTTACAAGCGTCTTGCCATAAAGTTGCCCGATAACCAGATCTCCAAGGTAGGTAGGCAGCTTCTATCAATGACCCAGTCTTCTGAGTGGCCTAGGTACCCTTCTATCCTACACCCTCCTCAGTGCAGATCCTTGGAAATCTATCTTCACCTCTCTATTGTGACCTTAATCATGAGATAGTCACCTCCTGCAAAATGTGGCATGGTATGGCCCCTTATTAGTATGTAGCAAATGGGAGCTTACACTTGTCTGATGACTTGGCAATGTCCTGTTTTGTTTTCAGAGCAATTGCAATGTGGCTATCATCAATGTAGGGGCACCTGCTGCCGGAATGAATGCAGCTGTGCGTTCTGCTGTTCGAGTTGGCATTGCAGACGGTCACAAGATGTTTGCAGTCTTCGATGGTTTTGATGGCTTCGCCAAAGGCCAAGTGAGTCTTCCAGAAGTCCCTGGGGGAAGTTACAATGTCATTGTATGTGGGAAGGCCAGACTTTCCCCACAGCACCTACTAATCCAGGATTCTCTGGTGGTGTGACTATAGCAATTACTGATCTGAGGATTACCTTCTGCTTCACAGTCCTGCCCTATGTTAGGTTTTAAGTTTTTACAGAAAGCTGAGGGTGTTAATGTATTTTTAGATTTTCTCAAAAGACCCTAAGGCATAATGATACAATGATTCTCACCTCACAGCCTGTTGCATTAAGTTTGGACAACTGGGCAAAGTGCATGGCTTATAACACTCACCAGAACCAAAACCTTAATAAAAATAATTGTTGGCTGGGCTTGTGTAGCTCAGCAGAACAATACTTGCCTGGCATGGAAAGCTGGGTTCCAACCCCAGCACTGGCAGAACAGCAACAGTCAGCCAACAAAGGTCTGGAGCATTTACTGTTTTCCTTTAGTTGCATGTGATTTACATATATTAATCCTTTTGCCCTTAGACTATTGGTGTGGACTTACTACAGTTTCTCTCAGGCAAGAAGTTGCTACAGTTTTCATGATGTAGGATTTGAAATAGGGTGGTGAGGTATGTCTGCACTAACGCAGAGCCGCTGCAGTTGTTTCTACGTCTAGTCAATGCCTCAGGGAGTTTGTAACCCTGTGAAATTGGAGTGAGCAAAGTAGACAAAACACCCTGCCTCTGCAGAGCTTCTGTTTCGGAGGAAATGACAGCAAGAATAGACTAGTAAGCCATATAGCTTATTTATAAGATAGTGAAAAAGCTAGAACACTGCTGACAAGAAGACAAAATCCTCGGTGGCTTTGCATAAGTTTCGTGAACCTGATCAGGGGAACCTGATCTCCCGTTAATGGGTAAGTGGGGACCAAGGACATCGGTTCATTCCAGGCAGAGGAAAATATGGTAGGAAGACCCTGAGATGGGTTCTGCCCATGTTTCAGGAACATAGTGGGTCAGGATGGGGAGTGAGAGGAAGGAAGAAAGTGAGAATAAAGCAGGAGTCAGGTTATCTGTAGCCAGTCCTAGGAGTTTGATTTTCTGGCTAAGTAAGGTGGGGAGGCCTTTAAGGAAAGGGGCTAATGAGGGACCTGGGGCATCTTCTCTGGTCCTTTCTGATGTCTAGAAGAGGCAGACCAGATGCAAAGTGAAGTGAGGAAGAAAGGGTCACTTCAGGAAGAAGCATCAATGGTGAATGTAGAGATAGATGATTTCAAGGAACTGGCTGCATTTTGAAGCACGAACAAAACAGTTTGTATACTATCTGTGCGCAGATAAGACAAAAGCATAGCGTATTGTATTTCAGTTGACCCTATGAAAGGGCTAGAAATAGAATTTATACGGTCAGGGAAATGTAGCTTGTGCTGGTTCTCCAGGAACTCTGAGGACTGGAGATTTGAAGTTGGGAGGTGTCTGAAACTTACCTAAAGATCCCATGAGAATACATTAATGGTGAGAAGTTCACCAAAAATCACATAACTGGAAGCTTATAGACCTGGAATTCTGGCCCAGTATGTTCTGTTCTGTACCTAACATGGGACTCACCCCAGTTGATTAAACTTCATCTGGTCAGCCACTCCTTATTTGCGTTTCTTTGTTTATTCTCTTCTTTGCTTTCTGTGCTAAATTATTTTAACCTTTACCAATTTAAAAACTGTGGTATTTAGTTTTTTCCTTTACTAGTGACGTATTCTGGCTAGCTAAGAGTATCCACCTAGGACACATACCTAGGGTTAGTGTGTGGAGGCCCCTACAGGCAGGAAAGAAATAGTTTTAACTGAGGCTCAGTGCCTTGTTTAACCTTACAAGGACATGTCATGTCTTGGCTGAGTCAGCACTGTGGTGAGGAAACAGACCTGAAGCCTTACCCATGTCCATGAGAATACTGAACCTTGAGCTGTTTTCAGAGCTTCTAATTCAGCCCTTTCTTCCTCACTTCACTCTTGTGTTTGAACATTAGATCAAAGAAATGGACTGGATAGATGTCGGAGGTTGGACTGGACAAGGAGGTTCCATTCTTGGGACGAAACGGTAATTTTTAAATTTTTAACTCTTCCACGAGTTCTTTTTATTTTATTTTCATTTTATGTGTATGGGTGTTTTGCCTGTGTGTATGTCTGTGCCCCACAAGAAAGGGCACTGGATTACCTGGAATTGGAATTAAAGATGGTTGTGAGCTGCCATGTGGATTCTGAGAACCAAAACTTGGTCCTCTGCAAGAGCAGCAAGTGCTCCTAACTGATGAGCCATCCAACAGTTATTAACAAAGAAGGAAGAGGCACGTCCTAGAGAGAGTAGCTAGATGTAGACACCTCTCCTATTTTTTTCTGTAATGAGTTCCTAATGAAGAAGGGGCACCTATCTGCCATTTCCCCATCATGTTTTAGGGAGCTGAGAGTTAATCTCAGTGCTAGGAAAGGGAAGGCAGATTGAGATGGACACGTAGCTCAGTGGTTAGGTCTCGGATTCAATACCCAGCACTCTAAAAATGTGAAGTCAAGTACCTTGTGGTCCTTTCGCTCTATTAATTCCCTACTTCCATTTATTTGAAAAACAAAACAGTATGTGAAACTCTTCTGCCCCACTCTGGTTGAAAGAATGAATGGTGATTGTGAAGCTGTCACTTACTGTGCTACTGTGTCAAGAAGCACTAATGTGGTATGCCACACAAGAACGGAGCCGCACAGTGACTTTAAGCTTATGTGTACAGCTGAAGAAATCACCTGAGAATTGCTAGGATGAAATCATCTTTTTCTGACTTACAAAATCATTGAATTACTTGAGATTAAAGACAGTTTAACAACGTGCATTATGTTGGGCCCAGCCCCATTTTATCTTTGTCTATTTCTAGGATGCAAGCATTAATACCAGCCATTGTTTTTTACCTTACTTTGTTGTGTGGAAAGAAAGCAGTTTTTTCATTGTGGCTTAGCGTGAGAAGAATCAAGTCAGCTTTTCTGCTTGCTTCAAAGTCAGGGCTCCTGGGGCCATGTAGACAGGTGGGGATTCCACAGGGTGGCTGCCCCAGATGGTGTTGGTGCTTTGTGTGGCAAAGCCCCAGGATGTTGATGGTAATGCAAATAGACTCCCTAGGCCTCTGCAGAGAGGCTGATATGCTTGCAAGCCCAGGTGTAAGGCAAACCTCAGCATCACTCTTGAGCATCATGGGGATGAGCCAATGGCTACAGGCACTTGCTAAAGATGTCAGGTTTGCCCATTAGCCATGTTCACGTTTTCCTTATTGAAATAGCTTCACCTTATAGCTTACATATGTCTAGTTTTCTCCTAAGCATGAAAGAAAAAGTAGGGGTGGTGGTCAGGTTAAATATTGGAATGGGGCATAAATCAGTTTCATCCCTTTGCTTAGTGGTAACCCTGCTGACTGTCATTTGAAGTAGGTGATAGTATAGAAATAGAATGTGGGTGGGTGTGGTTTTTAACTAATTATTTCTTTATTTATTAAAAAAAAATTTTTTGGGTGTAATTTTAAAGGAAATTAACTTGATAGATATGTATGAAATATTTATCAATATATAAATATGAACGTATATTGTATAAATTTTAATATATATTTTATTGTGTTTTAATATATGTTTATATACATATGGACATATATAAAAGTATGTATAAAATATATACATGCATACACATAAACATATATGTACAGGTATATAATTTGGAAAATGGAAATTTCTATGTAAACAGTTACTATAAGTAATTTTAAGCTAATAATGTATTTTCTCTTTACTCGTGAGCCAGTATAATTCTTTTGGCTCTTTTGAAACAGGATCTTATGTAGCTCAGTCTGTTCAGGAATTCACTATGTTGCCTTGCCTGTCGTCCAGGCTGGTCTTGAACTCAGCAGTCCTCCCGCCTCCATCTTGAGCGTTGGGATTTCAGGTGTACACCGCCACATGAATCTTCTGGGGTGACCCTATTTCCATATACACGTTGTCCGTTAATTTATCGACTGTGGCCGTACGGATTAAGCCTAGGAATGTACACGTTGTAGGCAAATACTCTTCCACTGAGCTAAGTCCCCAGCCCCCCTACTTTTGAAGAATGGTCTTTGGGGACATCATACCTTGCCCCTTCTGCCTTGAGTGGTCGTTCTCCAGGCCTCCACTGTCCCAGATGCTGTCGACCTGGGAGGCCCAGGAAAGCAGCCACAGAGTTCAGACATGGGTGAGAGGTGGGAAAGAGACCCCAGCAGTGGGTAGAATGATTTCCCAGAAGTTTGCCAGCTTATGTGGGTATACCCTCACCTCTTGGTCCGTGTGTCTTCAGCACTCTACCTGGGAAGTACTTGGAGAAGATTGCTGAACAGATGCATTCCTATAATATCAACGCCCTCCTTATCATTGGTGGATTTGAGGTACATACATTATTGTCTTCTCCCTCCCTGCTTGTTGGCTTTGGAGGTGGGATTGGTAGCCCCATATTTGTTTCACATCATACCCGATCTTACTGGACATACCTCAGGAACTGGGATTTTAATGTTCAACCCAGTTACCCTGTAATTCGGAATAGCAGGGCAGTGCGATGTAGCACAAGATGAGCCCAAGTCTGATAATGTAAATTAACGGAGACAGCACAAGCTTGACCATTCTGCTGAGACCCAGTTTGATATTTTCTGATTTGTTACCAATCTGTAGCTACAATTCCATATTTGGCATTGATCTAGAAAGGAAGGTGGTTTTATATAGTTCATTTTTCTCTTCAGATTTTTTTTTAAATCATATATTAGACTGTAGTCTTTAATTATATGCTATTCACTGAGGATGAGTCTCACAGAAATCTTGATTCATCTAAAGAAATATAAGAACTTCACATAACCAGACTCATTTATAATAAGACAGTCAGTCTCAAAACTATATGCTAATACTGCTTCTCCCCTTTGTGCCTGGGAAGCTGCTTGTTCTTGCCTGTGCTCTTAATTTTCCTGTGTTGGTTCTTTTAGTGATGCCCGGTCTCCTCCCTGTGTAGTTGTGCACTCCCTGAGACTCCCAGCCACCCGTTGCCCCTGGCCCCACCCCCCATTCCTGGCCCCACAGTCACACAGACTTATCTGACAGGCCTACCTGGGACTCCTAGAGCTGGCAGCTGCCCGGCAGAAACACGAGGCTTTCTGTGTCCCTATGGTTATGGTTCCTGCTACTGTCTCCAACAATGTGCCGGGTTCCGATTTCAGCATCGGGGCGGACACGGCTCTGAACACTATCACAGATGTAAGTGCGTGTGCCAGCAAAACAGGTGCAGCTGACGCTAATCCAAGACCTGGATCCTTTTATCTACCAGTGCGCTAGAAATAGCCTTTTACCAATTGGATGCCTAAATATTTTTGTTTGTTTCAGGAAACAAAAGTTCCTTTTGGATTCTGAAAACCCTTTATATAGTGCACAGCCACCCCAGTTTTCCCCATGGGTTCTCCCATACAGCTGCTGCATGACTTGACTCCATTTCGAAGACCTGTAGAGGGACAGCCCATCCTAGCTCATGCAGTACTAGATGACTGTGTTTTCTGATTTGACACTCAACTAAACTTTTAAGTTTTTTAAGTTTTGGCTGAATGTAATTTTCTTTCAGCCTATAGCCTCTTACTGCACCTGTGTTCAGCATTCTCTCCTTGATGCTTAAAGGTAGAAATGGAACTAAATATCTCATAATGTTATTGCCTGAACCAACTGGTCACTGGATTTTTGGCTATGGTTGTTACTGTTATTTTCCCCTGCCTTTTATAAATTGGTAATCTTAAATTGTGTTAAATATTGGCACTTTCTTTTTTTTTCTCAAAAAGACAGTAACAAAATATATTCATACATTAGTCTTACATTTGTTGTAAATTATACTTGTTAATTCCTATGAAATCACTGAATCAGAGTTCTAAAAATTTTCAGTAACTCAAGTTGTGCTTCCTGGGAGACCTAATTCTGCTACATATTTTTGTAGGATTTTGTTTTCTCTTAAGCTCTCGGCACCAAACTCATTTCTAGTACTGGTAAATAAAAGCCCTAAAGCTTTTACAATAAAATGCAGAGCGGTAAGTAATGCTTTGTGCTGCTTTCTTGCTTTTCTGAATGTCAGGACCGTTCTTCAGTCTGTGTCCTGAAGCCATGTGTCTGGCGTCTTCTAGAAGCAGCGTCTGTTTTGTTTATTTCCAATCACTAACTTCTCCCTTCTATGTTGCATGTGCTGTCTGGTGACTATTGGTATTGCTTTTGCTGTTGTGGTTGATGAACTCAGGCCGCTGATGCATCTGTCTGTCTTTGTGAGTGGAAAAAAGGGGTATCTGTTACAAAATGGATTGGGATCCAGGGCTTTGTGCATTTCAGATGCTCAATTACAGTCTACAGTTTGCATGGTAGGAATCTGTAGGGGAAACAATTAGAGCGTCTTTTTTTCACAAGCTCCTTGTCATTTAAGTAGAAGCCCGCTTGCAGATGTACCTGACCAGTAGTCTATGGCCATGTGTGCCCCAGAACAGCCATGGATGTGGCCTACCTAAAAAAGTCATAGACTCAATCAAATTATTATGAGACTTAGTTTAGCAAATTATCTTTTGGAAACTGTAGTCTGTGGCTCTTGAGGGTGAACTTTGTAGGTGATGACAGTGTCCTGTCGTTGAAAGGCTGTGCACTGCTGTGTACTGTCATTTCGGCTTAGTGGGAGCCTCTGAAGATGCCAGGCAAGGGGGACATTTATCTCCTTGTAGATATTCAGTGTGCACTGTCAGGCATGAAGGAAAGATTCTCTGTTTTTATTGTAATGTTACTATAATCATTCTTTATGATTCTTAGCTCCCATGCTAGTAATTGTTTTGTCCCAGATTTGAATATTTAATATGTACATATTTTTGAAAATATGAAACTCAAAAGTAGAGACGAGGAAAAAGTTAACCACTCTCTTTTACTTCCCTTAAAGGGATTTTGTGATTTTTTTTTTTTTTAAATTTTTTCTTATTGATTTATTCGAGTTTCTCAAAGCCAGCGGTAGTATGTGAGAACAAGACTGAATGGTAGGTAGGTGGCCATTCCTGAGGGCTGGAGGCTCGGTAATGCGTGGTAAGTAGATGTGTACGTGTGTTTTTTGTTGCTCTTGCTTCTGAGGCTCCAGGGAGCTGGGTTGTCTAGGTTCTGTGATCTCAAGGTGGGTGCCTGAAGCTGGGCCAGCTGACAATGAAAGTTGCTCTTGCTCTGGAGCCGACAGCTGAGTGAAGATGAAAGTACAACCCACAGTACCTTTGTGTGTCCTAATGGGAAAAGGACTAGAATATGAAAAGGCGTGAAGGCAAAATGAAAGTTAATTATAAGAGTTTGAAGTTGGACATGAGTTAGGGTCTGGCCCCAAGAATGAAAGGAGGTTTTTACTGCGTCTAGGAAGAGAGGACACGAGGAAACTCCACCAAGCTCCGGTTGCCTCTCGCTGCTGTAGATCTTTCTACATGAGAAGCCCCTGTGGAGAGCTGTCAGGGAGTTGAGAGCAGTGGCCTAACTTTACTGTGTAACTTGAAACAGGCATCCTGAAGAACAGGTCACCAGCAAGTCACTTGTTTCTCTACAGTCATATCTGTTTCTAGAGGACAATAGCCTCTTCCTGAGCCCTGGATCAGACCTAACCTTACAATCCATGGCAGTCTCCCAGAACCAGCTGTTTCCTTAGGTTTGGAGAGTGAGACAGTTCTCAGCTTTGGGTGGGCAGCTGCAATGGTGAAGGACATTGCGTCATCAGAGAGGAGTCCCTAACGTGTAGTAAGTGGAGGTCAAGAGTGCTGTTCATTGCTTTATAGTGTTGGGGACAGTCCCCACCACAGGGAAATTTCAATCTCCGAATGTCTACTAGCTTGAGGTGAGAAAACCCGGGCTTCTCCAGTTTGACTAAATGACCTCATTCATTGTCTTCACTAATTGTTTCCTCCTCGTCAGCAATTATATCCAGGTATGTGGGCATCTGTTGAATGGGTCTTGTACTTGTGAGGTAATGGATGAATTCTCTGGGCTGCATCTTGAAAAGCAGACACTTCACAAGTCTGGTGTTGGAGGGAGGCTTTTCAGGGGGACTTGTTTTTATTCCTTACCTTTGGTGTCAAGCTTTTTTCTAGTCAGAAAACAACCAAGGCAAGCTAACTGTGAGGTGGCACTGAAGGTCATGAAAGTGATGTAGCCACAGCTCTGAAGACAGTCCTGAACTGTGAATACTAGGATATAGAAAATTGACCTTAGGTCCCTGTAACTATGTACCATCTTTTTTTTTTTTCTCCTTTCAGTGTGTGCAGTCAAAATGTCTAAGGTGGCTTTATTGGTGTTTTGAAAATTGTTGTTGCTTCCTACAGGATCTAGAAGCAAGACTTTCTGTATGGTTTCTTTCGAGTTTGCTACTTTTCTTGGGTAGGGTTCCCCATTTAGAGCTTCCCTTTTAGCCTATTAGAGAGGAACAGAAACAAAAGAGTAATGTTGTCAGACTGAAGGTAGGGTACTAACCCTTTCCCTTCCTCACCTGTTCTCCTCATACATCCCTGACGCTCTCCGGCCCACAGAGAAGACTCTGGTCTGTTTGTCATGTTGCCTACATGCCTCTTACTTCCAGCAGGAGGCTCTTAAAGACACAGCTTCTGTCTTTACAATTTGTTCCTAATAAATACCTAGCAAAAATTATCCTCAGCAAATGCAAACACTTTTCTAGAAAGTTCTGAGGAGCCTAGCAAACATGCAGGGCACTGACCAGTGGTTGTACCTACAATGGCTTTGACATAAGGTGCCATTTTGAATGTAATCAATTGTAACAACCACAGCCTGAGCAACAAATGGCTGAAGTACGTGGAGAGTGGCCATGTTGACCCAGAGTCACCTGTGGGTGGAGGTGGAGGGCTGGTTGTGTTGGGAACGAGGAAAATCCTGTCACTGGCCAGTATGGCCTGCCCTGTCTGACTTCTTGACTGACCACCCGAAGGACTAATATACCACAGGTCTGTGACCCATTGTCCAGAATCCTTGGAGCACACAAGTTTTAAATCTCAGGATGATCTGGTTGCAGAAAGATGGCATAGAACATGCAACATTCATCACAGCTGCCTTGTGTGGGGAGGCAGAGTCCCATGTCGTATTCAAACAATAATTTTGCAGCAACCTGTACCGATGATTATGCTAAGAGAGATAAATAAGATTCATGGGGCATACTTCCCATCCATAGTGGTCTAAAAATATACCCATCTTACTCTGTTGAGAGCTGCCTGGATTTAGGAACTGTGGGTGAGTAGACCTGTGCCCACTGCTAACCTGGCTTTAATACCTGAGGCAAGTCTCTGAAACCTCTGTATACCAGCTAGTCGCCTTTACGGCAGAGTCAGACATTTCTAGTTATCATTTTGAAGCAGTTCCTAAGGTTCCAAATGATTTATCTTGCTTCATGTAAGCACTGCCAAAGGCCCAGGAAGGATGCTTCCTTCAGGAGGGAGATAGTTATTTCTAATGGGGAGCAGAGGGATACGCGGAAGCCTGTGTGCGTCCTGGGGTGGACCTGCAGGTAACGTAAAGTGCATGTCTCTTTTCCTGTCAGCCCTTGGTGCAGTGACCCTACTCTGCATTGGTGATACCAGTCATTTGATGTCATCCTTGCAGCCATGTGCTCCTCTCCACTCTCCACCTCAACCCAGAGAAGTGTTGGGATTGGCTTTGCGCTTAAACGCCCCAACCTCACTTTCCCCCCCCACCTCCTCTGTAATGGCGAGAAAGGAGCAGCTGTTCCATCTAATGACTAACCCATGATTCACCTCTGTCCCCTCGGCCTGCTGCCTGCTTTGCTGCCTGCTTTGCACCACCTTGACTCTGCTACTTGTATCCTCTTCCTGCGGGACAAGAAGGACAAGGCTGAGGGACGTACGGTAGCCCGTGAATAATTGAGGCATGCTCTGCACCTGCTCAGATGCCAACCCAGGCCTCTCATGGGCTCTGCGGACCCATGTGGACCAACTTCCTGCTGGTTACTTGGTTCCCTCCCTGTCACATCCCTGGAGTGCTAAGTGACTTGGCAAGGAATGCACTGGTACTACTCTAATTGCCATGGCCCTGCTGCTACAGGCTTTTAATAGCGCCGTGATTCTGGGTGATGCACGAAACAGCCACGAGGAGTTTTGCATCCCAATATGCGTTTTGCCTACCACTATTAGCAACAGTGTCCCTGGCACAGAAGTAAGTGTCGGTTCTGATACTGGCCTGAATGTCGTTGTTGAGGTAAGAAACCTGCTTCTATTCTAATTTTGCTTTGCGTGTCTTAACTATATTTTTCTTTTTCCCTAAGCCTACCTACCTGTCAGCTCAAACTCTCAACTTGCTCCGAGAAAGGAGCAGCTAGCTGTTCCATCTAATGACTAACCCAAGATGCACCTCTGTCCCCTCTGACAGAGAAAACCCGAGCTTCTCCAGGTCACTTCTGACCTTAATTAGAAATTGAAAAAGACATCCTTTCATATTTTTTTGGAAGGATTAAGCCCCAAAGCATATCTTTACCATTTGGCCATACTTTTAATAATAGGATAGTATTTCCTAGTTTCTCATGGTGAGAGCCTGGTCTCTATTAAAACGCTCTGTGCAGGCCTCTATAATATTTCTGTACCATCTGAATAGGAGAGCTGTTAGGGTCAGCTGCTTCTGTCCAAAGTTCCATTGTTATGTTAGAGTTGTGATGTTGGAGAAGGAGAGGTTAGAGAACAAGTCTCAGGAATGAGCACAAAGAACCAGATCTAAGTAAGTAATCCTCAGAGTCCCCAGAGTGTAGTCAATATGACTGTTCAGACAGTGGAAGCCCGAGGCCATTGCTTGGAAAGCCTTTCTGGTGAGATGAGAGGCACTCTGGAGACATAGTCACTTTCTCAGAGGATGGTGGCTCTACCTGCTACTACTGTGTGGGGAGATGGACCTGCAGGTGCTAGGTGTGGTACTGTCGCTATCTGCATTGTAACACAGGTAATGAAATGAATGAACTCTAGTGCTACTGAGGCAGGAGGATGTCCGCTAGCTTCAAAGTCTTTTGCTGCAGGTAGTGGTTATAAAACAGCAAAAAGAAGGATGGTCAAGCCTGTAGCTTGACTTTTCACCATGCTCATTTTTTTTCCACCCCAACCCAGCGGCAGCAAGCTGACCTCTTAAGATGTTCACATGCATGTTGGCGCTAGCGCAGTGTGGTTCTCAACCTCTGGGTTGGGACCCCCACTGGTCCCATATCAGATATCCTGCATATCAGATGTTTACATTATCATTCATAATAGTAGCAAAATTACAGTTCTAAAGGTAGCAAGGAAGTAATATATGTCTGGGGCTCACCACAACACGAGGAACTGTATTAAAGGGTTGCAGAATAGAAAGGTTGAGAACCACTGCTTTAGAGTTGGCAATGAATTACAGCTGTTGGAGGGATTCCTTATATCCCAAGGTCTTTCTTCTAAGTTAAATTACTTGGGAGGAAAAAGAAGGAGTGGGACCAAGCATCTGAGTTTTCCACTAAGATCATAGCATGGGATCCTAGGTGTCTCCCTTGTAACCTGTGTGTTGGTATAGCTCATAAGCAATGTGGAAGCTCCCCCGAGCCCCTACTTACCAACCCCCGGCCCAAGTTTCTTGGCATGTTAAATAGAATCACAAACAAGACTGTCGATTGAAGCCTAGTCACTAAGTGCCTTAGGGCCCAGAGCTTTCCCTCTAATATCTGTGAACAGGTGCTGTCATACCTAGATGTCCTAAATGACCCCACATGCTTTAGCCTTCTGGCTTAGACACTGGCCGGAACCACTTTGACTTCACTGAGAGATAAATGAGGATCAGCCAGTTCTCTGCCAGTACATAGTAAGACAGGATGTGCCCTGCCTACTGCCCAGCTCCTTCCCTGTCTGGCCACCCGAGTTTTTCAGTGAGTTGTCTGAACGAATATCAATTATCAGGCCAAAGGAAGAGTAGGTAGGGAACCTTTTAACTTGTAAGACATGACTGCTCCCATATTAAATTCTATGAAGTCTATTAATATCTCTTTTTAAAAATGTAGCTCCATATTGACCTCTGCCTCATTGTCTCACCTTTCATTTAAGTGTGTGTAACAGAGCGGCCATGGTGTTTGGACTATAGCTTGACATTTTTCACTAGGACTCCTCCCAGAGGCCCCCACCCACCTAGAGAGGGAATTCTCAGTCTGTGTCCTCGGAGCTCGATGAACTTGCCAATGAGGCAGTTGTAGAATAAGAGGCAAGACCTGTAAATGGATCCTGCTCTCCATCAGAAGTCAGGGAAGCCTTTCAGTGTGCCACCGGCACATGGTAGGTTGGTCGCATATTGGTACACTGGCCCTTTCTATGTCAGTACTACTTCTAGTAATTGAGTGAGACATGGCTAGGATAGCTTACAATTTTTAGAAGAAGCTAACTAAAGTCTTCAGATGTAATCTGGGTGACTAGAGTACTTAGGCATATAAGAAAGCTTTGAGCAAAGCATATCATTTCAAACCCATGCTGCTGTTTTTCTAGCCAGGGCTAAACAGAAAGCCTGGGCTTTGGTTCCAGGTCAGGTATAGTCTAGTTAGATTATGTCTCATTTGGATCAGGGCTTAGAGATCTGTATTAACAGGCTTTGTGCCTAAAGTCTCCTTAGTAATATTCTTGAATCATAAAGTAACTACAGCATGGTTCTTTGGATTGGTGGGTAATAGAATGGACACTTGGGAAAGACCGAAGTGGAAAAATAATCACTGGTTTTGCTCCCTTCTGGGACCTGGGCACTTGCCTAAGCAATGACTTCCTTTCAGCACTTGAGTGTCATAGACAGATGTTCAGTACAACATTTGATCTCTCTTCCTTTGTTACATCTCTGTTTCTAGAGAATTCAAGGCCTCACACTCACCAAAGTACATATTCAATGCTTTTGGGCAGGAGGATCTACTAAAGACATTACAGACTGCAAGGTTTTTCATAAAACCTGTTTGTTCATAAGTGTGATCTATTAAATATAATAGTGAATCACATAAAAAAAATGTTCAAATGGTAATTTTGACTTTGGTGCAAAGACTTACTTTCTGTTTCCCCTAAAGATCTGTGACTGTTGCAATCTCCCTTCATGATATTACTCTCCTCTTAGCTCCTGACTGTGGATGGGTAGGCCAAGTAGCTCATGTACTTCTATCTAGTTAAGCATCTACGGTGTTGGAGGCACAGCCAGCTGTGATGGCTATTGCAGTGGCTTTAGCCCAGCATAGGGTTTCTGTCCTCCAGGGAATTGCATCCAGAGAGGAAATTTCCAAATCTAAAAAGCACACTTTGCAGGAAGACATCCTGGAGTGAAGAAAGGACTCAGAGTCACGAAAGCCCCTAGCAGAGGGACTGTCCAGTCCTGGAGGTCACATAGTATCTTCCTGAGGAAATGACTTTTCTAACTGGGTCACAGGTTGCAGATAAGCGAGCAGGAAAGAACTCAAGTGAGTTCCCTACGGTGGTTGTAATAGATGGCTGCACGTCGGTTGTGTTAACATAACAGCCATCTGCCCACAGCTGTGGGGGCAGAAGGCAGGGAACAGAAATAACTTTGGGGACTTCTATATACAGTTCTTACCATGCCCGGAGCCCACTGTGTGCGAAGGTCCCATGGAGGCTCACGGGTCAGTATATCTCTGAGCTAGAACAACAGCTGGAGCTGGGAGCTGGACAGGGTGCTGAGGATTGGCAGGCCTCAGCATCCAGCAGAAAGGTTTGATGCATACTTAAAAGCCGTGCTCAAGGACTTTGAAGAGGGCAAGAGCACAATCAAGTTTGGATTGCAATATATGGGTCTCTGTTTCCTGGGAAGAAAACAGATGCTGAGAACGAGGTGGGAAGCTTTCAGTGATTTCTGAGGAAATCAATGGCACCGAACACTGCCTCAGCGTGAGGCAGTGGGCAGTTTTTCAGTTGTCCTCTGTCCTGAACCTGGTTCCTTATGGAGAGTGGTTGGCTTTGCATTTCCATATGAGACTTGGTGCCAGTCCCTGCAAGATGTCTCTGGATGCCTTTATCCAAGAAGCTGTTCTCTTTAGACAGAGGTACCCTTATGAATAAAACCTCCAACATCTCAAAAAGCTTTTCACAACAAAACAACATTAGAAAAGGAAAGATAGCAAATAGGAAACCAGGTAACCAATAGTTCCATAGAAATTCACAACAGCTAAAGATTGACTTGCAAAAAAAAAAAAAAAAAAGGAATCCTTTCAGCAAGGATGTAGTCAAACAGCAAAGCAAGTAAGCTGAAATGAGTGACTAGTCCCCAGGGTAATGGCCCAGCCAGGCCCCCATCACGCGTGATCACAGAGATTCTGAGACGCTGCATGTAAGCAGTTGTGTGTACCACTCCTTTCTGAGGCCAGTGCTTGTTCCTGTGCTCTGGGGTGTGGTGGAGGTACATGCTGCAGCTTGTCAGGCGGGGAGGGGGAGGGGGAGCTTGCCCTGGGCTAGTGTACTGGCACTAGCCAAGGTCCTGTACTCAAATGACGGATCTCCTTGTCTGTGGCCAGACGTGTGACCGAATTAAACAGTCAGCCAGTGGAACCAAGCGCCGGGTGTTCATCATTGAGACCATGGGCGGATACTGTGGTTACCTGGCCAGCATGGGGGGACTTGCAGCAGGAGCTGATGCTGCCTACATCTTTGAGGAGCCATTTGATATCAGAGACCTGCAGGTATGTCCGTGGATGCTCGACATGCACGCTTGGCTCCCAGCCGTGCTGAGGAAAGAACTTTATTTACCGTATGTACTACCTCCCCATTGGTTTTCTGAAGGCTGGAGATGGTGCTGGACAACACTGCACGATGTTTGCTTTTCAGTTGTCATCTCCAAATCCAGGTGCTTGGATGAAAGTTTTAGGTGCTCTTTGGATGGGTGACCATGACTAGGTAGGATTGAGGGTCACACACACACACACACACACACACACACACACACACACACACACACAAATTATGTATAATTAATCATTAATTCATTTATTTTTACTTTATACATGTGATATTTTGTGAGTATATGTGTATGTGCACATCTTCAGGGGCCAGAAGAGGGTCCCAGATCCTTTTGAACTGCCATTAAGGATGGCCGGGAGCCACCGTATGGGCACTGAGAACGGAAGCTGGGTCCTCTGCAAGAGTAGCAAGTGCTCTAAGGGGTCTTAACACACACTTCCTCTCTGTGTTTATGTATGCGTATTTATTTTTAAATGATTCACTCTTTTGAGAAATATGATAATGCTTTCCCAGTATTTGGCATAAGTCATCTAAAGATACTTATTTAATGGGACCTGGTGTTTTAAACTGCATCCCTTAGGCCTTTTGAAATACTGCCACTGACCCAGCTTTGTCTCCTGTTGTTATAATAAAACACCCAGGCAAGAGCAACTTGAGGGAGAAAGTGTTTGTTTTCCCCCTAGTTCAGGTTATGCCCTTATTACATGGAAGTCAGAGGAACAGGGACTGGAAGCTGGTCACGTGCAGTCAAGAGTGGAGAGAATGAATGCCTGCGTGCTAGTGCTTAGCTTACTTTCTCTTTTGTATAGAGTTTCGAATGCCCTTCTTAGGAAATGGTGCCACCCACAATGAGTGGGTCTGCCCACCTCAACTGATATAATCAAGACAATCCCCCATAGACATGCCCATAGACCCAGCCTAATCTACAGAGACTCTGTAGGTGATTATGGATTGGGCCAGGATGACAATGAACACTAACCATCACACTCATGAACATTAAATAAATGTACTCGGTAGCCTAGCCCCATGTCTTACACATGCCATGTTTATCTGATTTACTACTGATAGCACCGGATTTCCCACTGTCCACTAACTCCTGTGTAATGTGATACCTGGAAAACATTTAAAGGCAGCTCAGTGTGTTTATACGTGGTGCTACATTGTAGTCTCCATGGCATTACAGTAGGTACCAAATGAGTACACTGTCTAACCGACTAACAAAACAATCTTTTCTAGTCCAATGTGGAACACTTGAGAAACAAAATGAAGACGAGCATCCAGAGGGGCCTTGTTCTCAGGTAGTAGAAAGTGTTTTCGTTCTTCCCTTTGGGTGTTGGTTCTTAGAAACTGCCATGTGCATCTTCCCTTTGCCACTGATTCTCTGAATGCTAGAGAAACACAGGCACAGCTCTGAATTGTTAAAAAGAACCAGGCCTTCATTTAAATAAAAGACAACCTCTTACATTTTATTTCTGCTCTATAGTCTATTGTTATTTTCAAGACATCTGCCACTCATTTACTTAAGGCCTTCATGAGGAACGGGAAATACACAGAGTCAGGGTAGGGGCAGAGGTGAAGAAGGCTGACAGGCAAACAACTAAGCACCCTGAAACCTTGAGCAGGCTGGTTAGGTGGAGCTCTTCTCTAGAAAATCCTCAGCCATCTCCACAGCCCTGAGTAAACTTGACTCCTTCACATTCGTTTCAGGAATGAAAGCTGCAATGTCAATTTCACCACTGACTTCATTTACCAGCTCTACTCAGAGGAGGGCAAAGGAGTGTTTGACTGCAGGAAAAACGTGCTGGGCCACATGCAGCAGGTAGGCTGAGGCCTTCCCTGATCGCTGAGCCTCCAGCAGTCCCCCTTAGAATGGGGCCCTTCTGTGGGAAGTGAGCATAAACAAATTCTGAAATTCTTTAAGAATTTTAAGTCACACCAAATACCGTCATCTTTAGGATTCTGTGTCACCTGTGACATCCGGGGCTTAAGGAAAATACTTCGTTGCTTTTCTCATGGCCGTGATCAAATAGCTGACAAAAAGCGACTTGATGGAGGGAGGACTTTTGCTGACCTATAGTTTAAGGAGATAGGGCCAGTCATGGCAGGAAAGGCATAAGGGCAGGAGTGGGAGGCAAAGAGCAATCATGAGGTTGAGCTGGGTGCTGGGCCAAGAGACATCAAGTAAGCTTCCTCAGTGACGTACTTTCAAGCTCAATTGCGAGTTGAGGACCAAGTGTTCTAAGGCATGAGCCTATGGGGGAGACATTCCACACTCAAGCCACAACAGGATTTTTAGTGGGAAAACCATCAGCTTTCACGGAGGCAAGAAAGAAAACTGGTCATTGGAAATACTCTGATTACTTTATTGAATTACATATCAGTGTTTAATAAGATTTAAGGTGGAGTTTCAGATCAGTAGTATTTATTTGACACTTTCACCAGATTAAGATCATTTGGAAAGATGGATGTGCTTCACTACCTCCACAATATGGGAACTTTCATTGCCTTCATTGTTTTTTTCTTTTCTTTCTTTTCCTTCCTTCCTTCCTTCCTTCCTTCCTTCCTTCCTTCCTTCCTTCCTTC